CATCTTTCATCTTTGAAATTGTAATTATAATAATTTTTCGATGAGATCGGCTAAAAGTTCTTTCCGAGACGACTCAATTTTTCAGCATTTTCCCAAGGAGACCCTCGAGCCCTCTTTAGAACTACAAAAATCCCGCGAACTCCCTTCGGAGCTAGGCGGGCTCCAGATCCCTCTTGGATCCCCCTGATGAGATGTCTTGTAGTGCCCCTCAGACGGAACCCCGTTTCATCCTCCCCACAAAAAGTTCCTGCTTCCGCTCATGATCCGTTGGATACAACTATTTTAACGCTTAGGGGCTGTTTATGCCTATCCGCAGTGATTGAAGGCAAATCGTGCCTCGTGTTGCTAAACGTGTTCCTTCTTCATTATGGTTGAATAATGAATAGCCCGAATTTGGTGCTGTAGATAGATACCTATTTTCTCTGTTGAAGTACGTCTTTGGCACACAGAAAAACAACTTAGCGCTGAGCTCGAACATTTTAGGTAAAATAGCGCCAAATAACTACATGCAAAAGAGCATGAGCTCTACAGTCTGTGGTTGGCGCTATTTTACTTAAAGTGTTGGAGCACAGTGCTAAGTTGTTTTTTCCGTGCGACTTGTTTTTTCACTGGAATGTTATAGATATAGGGAGTGTTTGCTTGTTATTTGAACAAGACGTATGTTAATCTGAATGTCAAGGGCTAATGGTTTCATTAAAAAAACTTCTCCGGTGATAAAATTGGCTGATCCTAAGCCAGACCTGCCGACCTGGCGACCATGTTTCGGGTCGGCTTGTCAGCAGCGCCGCGACGCGCGACGACGACGGTGTGGCTAGTATAGAGCGTCCGTCCCGACGCGACGCGACGCGTCGATCGCGGAACTAAAAGCAGAGATGCCTCATTTCAACCAAGTTCACGAGCATGTTCAGATGAACTAAATTGACATAGTCATATATTCGTAGCATACCAGTATTGCGACTGTTGCACACAGGATATATATTTTTTACGGATAAGAAAAAAGATCTTTGAAGAAGAAATCTAAGAATCTTTTCAGACTAGGAACTTTTTGTGAGATTCAGAGGAGCATATAAACAAATAAGGGGGGTAGGAAAGGGCATAGAAAAAAACCCCACCAGCCCCAAAGCCAAAGGGTAGGAGGGAAAGCATTAAGGAAACTTTCACAGCTCGAAAGAGGGGCTGAGAGTAGGGCCTACCGGAGAAATGTTGATAAATTGAGTGTTTTAAGAGCAATTTTGAGCTGTTGAAAAAAAAGTTGAAAAGTTGATAAAAATATCAAGTTAAAATTGGGAGTCAAGTCACGCTTTTATAATGCAAAATCCTTTTTACTTTCTGCAGGAGGCCAGGTCACCCCAGCCCCTGAGTAATTTCAAATGACTGACGTGCTTCTGCAGTGTGATGAGGATTTTTGAGAAAAAATAACAAAAAATCCAGAAATGATCAGTCGTTTTCGAATCGTCCCTTACTTTACTATACAGATTCACTCAAATAATTGTGTCTATCGCTAACTTGGTTTTATACCCGTTTCCCCCTCCAAAGTTGTCGAATTCGTTGAATTTAATAAGTAATTTGGCAAACACGTCGGGTCGACGGGCCGGAATTGCGGAAAAAGGAAGGAATGAAATTATGTATCTTATGAAATCGATATTTATAACCTACCTGTGATCAGTGCGCCCAGTATAGGTACTCGCTCACCTGTCTCCCAGTCATGGTCAAGGCTAGAAGTTGAGTCCTCAGCGCAGCCGCTTCGCGCGCTACTTCGCTCCGATCTTTGAATTTCAAATTCCTACCCATTTCGAACGATCGAGAGGATCACATGGACGTGTTTCTGCCAAACGGAACTATGTGCATTAGGACATGAGCCCTGAGGCCCATAAGAATATATGCATAACAGGGCTCACGTCATAATGCACGCATAGTTCCGTTTGGTACGTCCACGTATAACACAGGCAATACAGTCCAGCGCACCACGATAACTTCGTATACGAAAGCTTACATGGAGGGAAAATCATTTAAAAAAAAACGGACGATTGAAATGGCCTGCTAAACTTTCTGGCTCAGGAGAAGAAACTTCTCGCTTACCGCAGAGACATTTTTAATTAAAGTTCTTAATAGTTGTTCGACGAGGCCCTGGTAGAAATTGGCAGTAGAATCTGTGTTCCAAAATACCATAGACCTACAGCCGGCTGTAAGATTTCCAACAGCTTCTATAGCCGGCTACGCAATTTCTTATAGCCTCTTATAGCCGATGGCGATTAAGCAACAGCCAGGCGATAAAGTGTATGCTAAACGTTACTAATTACGGATGCTAGGACTTAGTAGGACTTTGGATTGGAATACTGCTCTCTTTTAGGGCCGTAGTATTTTGATTTATTTTGCGAGGAAAGCTCCGTTCTTTTGATGGATGCTGTCATTACCAATATGTTAGAGCGCCTTCAGTTTCGTATGATACTGTGCAATACCTCTGGTGTGAAATAGTTGCTTCAAGCGCCGTGGCAGGCGGGCAGCCAGCGCGAAATACGCATTGGCGCCTACAAACCTAACAGGGATACTTCACGCGTTGCGCAATGCGTGAAGTATCCCTGTTAGGTTTGTAGGCGCCAGTGCGCCGCCGCTCCGCTTTGTGTTAGGCTCTAATATTTAATCTGGCGGAGTCAGCGTTATTCAACTCATGATTTTGAAATGTTTGCATATCCTGTGTTGCTTAATCTCATTTTAATTGATGAAAAAAAATGTGTATTTAAGGAAAATATAATGTGTGTTTTGTAAATATTAAGATGGTTCTGTATCAAACTTAATGATTTTCAAAGCACACGAATTTCTACACAATTTCTTATAGCCTTTTATAATCGATGGCGAAAAAGCAACAGCCAGGCGATAAAGTGTAAAGCCCGGCGATAGGAACTATATTTTATCTAATTTTTTATCGCTTATTCGTATAGCCCGGCCGTATGATTTTCTCCGAATTCTTCAGCCAGCTATATGATTTCTGTAGCCCTCTTTAGCTGGCTACAAGAATTCCTACGGTATTTTGAAACGCAGCTCTTATCGCCAATTTTTACCAGGGAGGTTCTTGACTGGTCCAATCATGCGCCGATTTGGTACAAAATATCGGCAGATTTTGAATTTGTAGCCACAGAACGACGAAAGCTCTCCCGCATGAGTTTGTAGATTCATTGTTGACAAAAAAAAATTTTCAAAATTCGTATAGAGATAAAAACAGGATTTAGCTACGATTAAAGTAGCATAAAATTCGATTTCATGAAATCGATCTCTTTATCGAATGCAAGGTTTTATCCGTCACCGAATTTGTTTTCATTCCTCCGAAATTTGTAATTTTTTCGGTATAAAGTCAGAATCTGCCAAGATTATGGCTTAATCTGTACCGTGCGCGCAAGTTCGACCACATCCAAAATTCGACACGAATCACCTTAATGTCACCGAGATCTTTGTCCACCATACTCTTGAGACGTATAACGACTTTTACTTTCCATAAAATATGTCCGTTACCTGGACCGAGGTTTGGATTCCAAGACCGAATAGTTTGGTTATCGGAACGGAAAACTTCGTTGTACAATGTGGATCGAATAAACTCAAACCTATAGGAAAGGCTCTTTTTTTACAAACATTTTGAGCACTACCAAGAGCAACATCATTTATTCCTTCGTATTGCCAATTTCTCTTTATACTTTTTCCCGTAACCTTTCCGCTGGGTTTCGAGTCCTTGTCATTAGGAAACGATATCCCTGTCAGTTGTTAGAGTTGAAGTTACTTAAACGCAATCATCTGTGTTCAGTGTTGTTCATTAAGTAACTCTTACTCGTCTGCGATGATGTGGTTGATGTTGGTGATTTGCCTAATAGGACGTGCCCGTGCCATTCTCTTAGTCCTAGTGTTTTTTTTCTTTTTTCTTTTTTTTCGCATCCAGGAATGCATAATACCGATGCCGATAACATGCGGGTCCAATAAGAGTAGAAGTATCCTATTATGTCCTGACTCTTACATTGTTGAGTGGCAGGAATGCACTCATAATATACCAATGTTTATGACTTGCATACATCAGTTTTTGGACTCGAGGCCTCTCCTCGAACGTAATTTTCTAAGGTTAAGAGTGACAGTGAGCAAAGAAATGTGGACATTAAATTTCCTTTTTTTTCATTGCGGCTCATGAAGATGTTAATTAAATGCAAATTGGTCACGGGAAGTGTGTGCATTTCTTGGCAAAACCTAGCACGCCTCTGAAGAATCACTGATAAATAAATCAAACTATTATCCATCATTTTTTTTGGCAAATATGCGAGATTGTTATGCAAGCAGATACTCATTCGAACGAAAATTAAGAAAATACTTTTTTATTTATCTCACATGAATAATACGACATAGTTATTGTCTATCAGGCTTGACCAAATGTAACGAGAAATTTCGGTGTATAGCAACCTCCGTAAGTGAGATTTTACATATCGACGGTGAAATTTCCAAACCACGTATAACTAGCAGAGGCGTACGAAGGGAGGGGGCAGGGGTGGCCTGGCCCTCCCCAGAATTGGAAGTAGTATCATCTACCACCCCCCGCCCCCAGAAATTCTGGATGGTGCAAAAACACCTTCTTCGATGCACATAGCTTTTACTTAAAATCCCACGCTCGAATAGTTAGTTTTTTCTTCTCTGTTCGTTATTCAGTTAAATTGCTCTACATAGTCTGGATGCAATCGGTTTTTCCAAATTCATACCACTATTTCATTTGATCTCGAAAATGCTGTAAAGTCACCTAAAAAAAAAAAAACTATTATAGTCACATATCAAATTGTCGAATTGTCGAGGAGCACTCTATTTACAATAAAAAATGAAACAGGGAGAAGGGGAAAATATTCTCATCTCCGCAGTTTTAACAGGAGCGCAATGGAGAGGAGGGGTCCAGGTTTTGAACTTGGCGCTACACACTTTTTCAGTGCCGACCTCTAGCGGAGTTACGCTGAACTAGTAATCTCTGCGGGTCGTGCTTGCAGCTTGCTTGTTGTCAATCGGGATCAGTTTTGTTTAGTACGTGGTGAAGTGTTCTGTGATAATGCTTGTGTTTCTCTGATAACAACTTTGCAAGATGAGCAATCGCAGCAGTACCAAGAATCTGAAATTTAAATTGATAACTACCCATCATTTCAAGGTATTGACAAATTTCTGTCCTCCTACTGTCTCGTAAGCACCAACATTTTTAGAGCATGGTTTTGTTTACCCTGAACTTCGAGGTTATAATTCGTTGTGTTTTGAAGAATTCTCAATAGAATTTCTTCTCGGAATAGTTGATTTGCTTACCACGAAACACAATTGTCATCATTTCTTCTTTATTATTATTCAAATCTCATCTCTGAAGGATGGACAGGGATCCATTATTACATAATGCCACTTGTACGCGATCGTCAGGTGGTTCTTGATTTTACAGAACGGGAGGTTGTTATAATCTCTTCTGCGCGTGGTTGAAAGCATTGGCCACAAAGTAACATTTTCTCCTCTGTAATTTCATGAATCATCATTCAGATACTAAAAAGGAGGCTTATCGCAGCCATTAATTAATAAATAATACCATCTATAAAACTTAAGTAGGTAAGTATGTACTTACTTCAAAATACGATTAAAATTCAGATTCTGAGGTTCACAGTAATTACAATGAGAAATGTTTGCAGGTTTCAACTATGAATGTACCCACTGCTTACAGACCAGAGGGTTCAACAAAGTCTTCCAATTTAGTTGCCCGCAAGCAAACTTAATTTTTGTACAGGAGCCATATCATTCATTTATCCTTACTTAGGGCTCACTGTAAGTGAGTGAAATAAGCCTTTAGCTGTTCTAAGTCTTGAAAGTTTCTGTCAGGCATAAATGCAACAATTTTGGTAAATTAGTTTTAGGGTTGCTATCTTAAGTTGAGCATAAAATTTCAAAAGGGAAGATGTCCCAGGTGGAATGTAAGGCGGAAAAAAGGGTGAATAATAATAAAAATTAAACTAAAAGGATCTATATTAAAATTAGTATCTTTAGAAAATCAGTATCTTAGACTTTTTTATTATAATAATCAGCTTGTTTCCAGATTACTCTGTCTAATTTCTTTCAACCACGTACAACACTTTGATTGACAATTAGAGAAATTTTGCAGAAAGGAGTCACCTTATATTTTACAGAATTAATAAGTAAATTAATACGTAGGTACATAATTTAATAATTAATATTAAGTAAGTATGAGGAAAGAAGGGGATGACAAAAAATTAGAATCTCAGATTAAAAATCTTTAATTCAATAGAATGCAGTTATTAGATGTAGGTAAAGAAGGAAGCAGTTTTGTTTTTTATGTAATTTCAACTTTTTGCATTAGGTACTTACTCTGTCGCATGATTTTATATATTTTGAAAAAATAGACATGATTTTTAGGGTTCTTTGAAAAGATCTCAGAGAAATGCATCGTGCCAATTATTGTGATCGAAAAATAAGCATAGGAGACTTTTTTTTTTTTTTTTTTTTTTTTAAATCTTTTAAGCCCTAAAACTGTTAGTCAATCAAGGAAAACTAAGAAATTTATGACATTTTTGCTGATGTCGGTATTCTGTCTAGAGGCAGAAGATGATGTTCGTCTTGTTTGCAAAATAAAGCAAAAAAAAAAAAAAAAAAAAAAAAAAAAAAAAAGAATGGAGCAAGAATATTTGAAAAGGAAAAACTCTGAGTAGGTATAATGGATTTTTATTTTAACCAAACGAAGAAATTAAAATTGGCCATTCACTACGCAGCCGATTACTCAAATGAGTCAATTATAGGTGCTTAAATGAGGTCTCTTTTCTTAGGCACTGTTAATATCAAGTAATTGCAACATGCTATTAATTCGCCCCAAAACTAACCTGAAGCTACATACTTTTAACATGTCTCTCCATTGCGACGGCTCTGAGTTCTGCAGTTGTTTTGTCTATTACTTAGGTAGGTACCTTTTTTTTTTAAAGAAAAAATTGAAAATGAATAAATTTCACTGTTTGACGTTTTCACAGTATATTGTGCACAGTATCAAAGAAATTCAGTAATTTTCTTTTTGAGTACAGTGTAACTGGCGACCGGGAAAACGGGGAAAAGTCAGGGAACGCAACTCGGCCAGGGAAAAGTCAGGGAATTTCGTTAACGGTCAGGGAATTTTTTGTGGAGCCGGGTTTCACGTAAAAATCGGTCTGCGACGGGCCAGCTGATAGCATTGTTGTTGTGTCAACGTTTTGACCACATTTATTAAGTGCCCTGGCGTTACCACAAAAAAGGTAAGGGATTTCATCGAGAGGAGTCAGGGAAAAGTCGGGGAAAAGTCAGGGAATGATAAAATGAAATTTTGCTCGCCACCATGTGAATAATGCTCATCAGTTCTCCTTTTGAAGAGAACGCAACAGGAAATCTGCAACGTCACAGATGGACATTCGACACACACATTTTCCAATGTCACCATCAATACTTATACCTCCCTAAGTATATTTGCCTCCACCCAACCTTTCTTCCCAGAGTAATTTTGTATTGAAGTACAGGTTGTTTTCATCATCGAGTAATTGACCCAACTCCTTACCTCCCACAGTCGAATAATTTCTCTCGATTAGGGAAAAAATGTATTTTTTATGAGCTCTGAAGTGCATTGAGATATCATCAAGCTAGGGCGCAACGGAGAATGAACTTATGAAGCGACTGATTCAGTTCCCATCTGATAAAAGAGCCTCTTGGGACCCAGACTCATTGAATTCAAACGAAAAGCCTGACGCGATTAAAAGATCAAATCAAGTGGAAAGCAATATAATATTATAATCTGGACTTTTTACTCATAATCAACTCTCATTCCACTTATTTGATATTGAAATGAGTCTACTAACCGCTCCTCTCTTTGTATTTTGATAACCAACCAATGTCTTCTCCGTCTTCAAATAACTATGCCTCACGAATTTTAGTGATTATCAAAGTCTTCAACCGATAAAATTCAACGATTATTTTTTTTTACAAATTTGTTTGCTTTCTCTATTAGGTGAATATTTTTACCGATGCTTGATGGTCTTTGAGGTCAGACAACTGATAAACCATCCAGTAATTAGACGTATTTCTGCTAAAAGGAACTATGTGAAAATGTAACAAATCAAAAGAAACTATTTGCATAGGATTCGCGTATGTTTTAGCTCCTTTTAATTTGATTCATTTTTACTTCGTTCCTTTTAGCATAGAGACGTCCAATTAAGCTGTCCCCGACGGCCGATTGACCCGACCGGTCAGGTGTGAAGTGGACCGCGTTGAGTAGAAAGGAACCAAGCCACATCAGCTATTGCCAAAAACTAGGCAATTTACTTTTTTACATGAAAACGGCTGTGCGAATTTTTTTTTTGGAAATTCCAGTGAATTTTCTACGTAGTATTAAAGCAAATTCCCAAAATTTTCCCGAAATTTTTAAAGCAAATTTTCAAAGGATGTTGCGCAAATGTTCTCGCGTAAAAAATTAAATGCCCAGTTTTTGGCCTCAGCGTGTACAGGAGACTTGACAATTACAAGTTTTATCCGCACTGGAAAAAAAGTCTTTTGTATCCAGAGTCCAGACTGTTAAAAACATTGGCAAGAAAAAATGCTGCATTTGATTCAATCCGATTTTTCTTTGGATCGAAGAGCCGAGCCTCTTGATTGAGGCGGATTTCCTTTTGATTCAAGCAAGAAGTCCGATTGAATCGAGAGTATTTTTTCTTGTCAATGTTTTTGAGAGTCTGGACTCCGGATCCAAGCGACTTTTTTTCCAGTGCGTGTTTACGGTTACTTTGAGCCAGTTTTATTTTGGTCAGGCCAGCCAATACGATTTGATCGCTCATTTTTGGTTTAATCGACCGACACCGACACCTTAAGTTACATCCGGAGATTTGTCGCACGAACGAAGCTTTGAACTGAGCTTGGGGTGTATTTCAGTGAACTCAGATAACCTCATGATTAATTATTGTTGAAGTTGAAAACAGGACTATTTGTTGTTGAAAACAGGACCATTTGTTCGTTGAAACTAATTGTACCCAGTTCCTCGAACTAGTTCGCGGGAAGTTCGTCCATGTAGACGAGGCCATTCCGGTATGAACTTTGCCGCTGACGCAAAATTTAATTTTAAAGTTAGTTCGTGCCGTGAAGTCTTTGAAGATGAGACCCAACGAATCGTCCTATAATAGTTATCGCTCGAATTGCGTCAGCTGAAAATGGGTTTACGGTTACAGAGGCCGAGACTGCCGATAAGATGGTAATTGCTTCGGCTTAATACTTATTTGCTTGGAGATTATCAATTTCCCGCCCAAGTTCCTGTTTTCGCTTTCTTTGTACAACCGTTTTTTCAGTTTTAACACCGGCTCCCGATTTTACTCTCCACGCTAAAACGTGCGAATCGTGTGGCGTCCTCACGTGATTTCCCGCGTGCAGCCTGTAGATTACAGAAACATCTTTTATTGAGCTGTACATTCATATTCAACACTTTAAGTTCGTCAGTTGGGCGTTTTAGATTCCTCCTCAGTTAATGATCGTCCATCACAAAGATTTTGCCGGTCGAGGGAATATTCCATGACTTTTTTGCTCGCATTGAAAAGTCCGGATCCAGTGATTAAGAAAGAGAAATTACACCAAGGATTAGCGAATAATCCGAGAAACTCCACGATCAAGCGAGAAAAATCACAAAAAAACTCTCAGAAACAAATTAGGTAACTTCAAAGAAATGTGCCCGCTAAACTCAAAGGTTATATTAATATCGCGTCGATAACGAAGGACAGGAAAGGAAAAAAGGAAAATAAGAAAAGAACCTTGCTTAGAGTAATTGAAAACGATCGCACACATTCATTATAGGCACTAAGAGTGAAACTAACATTGTTGGAAGATAATTAGACGCAGTTATGCTGAAAGGAGCTACGTTAAACGCAAACCTACATATATCTACTTGGTTCCTTTTAGCATAAATATTTATTCTAAATATAGGTGGATGGATGAGAGTGTCCTGTAGAAACGAGGGTTAGTCTGATCGTCCAATGTGCTTTAATCCTATTCAAACAAAACCGTATAGGCGCCGACTTGCTAAAAGCTCCCAGTCTCAATGTAGTCGTTAAGTGCTTGTAATGTATCGTATATACATTATTCATTTATCTGTAATCAACCAAAGAC